GCGGACAAGGGACCGCTTCTGCGGTCCCGCTTATGCGGAAAGTGAGCCGCTTCTGCGACTTTCACTAAACGACCACATCCGCTTCTGCGGTCCAGTCAACCGCTTATGCGGTTCCGCTTATGCGGATTATCCACCGTTTCTGCGGTTCCAACTAAAAGCCAAACGGCCGCATCTGCGGCTATTTTCTCGCAGATGCGAGGCCGCTCCTGCGGAATTTCCTCCGCATTTGCGACACCTGGAAACTCTGCCCCAAACGCTTCTGCGATGATCCAGCCGCATATGCGGCTCCGCTTTTGCGGTTCCCAAGCCGCAGAAGCGAAAATACCAGAAGATGAAAAGAACCAGCTGCTGCAACACTTCAAAAATCTCCCCGTTAACCACCCGAAATCATCCCGAGGCCCCCAGGACCTCAACCAAAAGCACCAATACCACTTAATACCTTATTCAAACTTGTACCAATCCTTAAAACACCTAAAACAACACCGGAAGTCCGATTAAATCAAAGATTCAAGCCTAAGAACTTCAAATTCCAACAAAACACACTTTCGATCAAAAACCAAACCAAACCTCGCCCGAATGACCTGAAATTTTGCACACACATCCCGAATGACATGACGGAGCTACTGCAACTTCCGGAATTCCAATCCGACCCTCGGATCAAAAACTCACTATCGGACCGGAAACTTCAAAAATTCAAACTTCGGCATTTCAAGCCTAAATGAGCTACGAGCCTCCAAAATACATTCCGAACACGCTCCCAACCCCGAAATCGCCTAACGGAGCTAACGGAACCATCAGATTTCCATTCCGATGTCTTCTTCACACTGTTCCGATTACGGACCATTTTTCCATTCTTAAGCTCTCATTTAGGGACTAAGTGTCCCAAAACACTCCGAATCCCAACACCGAACGTCCCGGCAAACCAAAATAGCAGAAATGAACTTAGGGAAAGCAGTTAATGGGGGATCGGGGCGTAAATTCCAAAAACGACCGGCCGGGTCGTTACAGTAAGTGTGGTATATTTACTACCACTAGCACGTTCATATTCTTCCAAGAATGAATATGTATTCATAAATCATGTTGTCACATTCACATCATGAATGGACCATAGTCATCTATATGTGCTTTATAAAATCTCATGTCAAATCGATGACAAATATTATTTTCACAAAGTGAAGGATAATTTTGAGAATCCTTATTATTCCCATTGTCACAATGATGCCGATTATAATTTCGTCTATTGCCGCGTCCACATCCATTGATACCTTTACGGTAATAATTTTGTCTTCTTTCAGACTTATCACATATGTCTTATCACATTCTCTTAAGGGAATGAGAATGAAGCAAATTCAATGGGACGGGTTTTCACTTCTTTCCCACAATCATACATGAATTTGATCATGGTAAGATAGAGAAATTTTACCACTTCGAGTGGTTATAATTTCTTACTAACTCCATTAGAGTTATAATCAAAATTTATTGTATTTGCTTGTATTTAAAATCAAAGTATAGAATAAAAGAGAAAAATACGGTAAAATACTTACCTTAAATTCAGAATTTAATCATGAAGGAAGTTCATGGAACAATTGACAAGCATTATGCTCAATCCCAGAGCTTCTACTCAATTGGTTAGAGTCTCGTGCTGATAACGTGTTATGAAACGATAAAAGATGAATATTGCAAAGAAAGGGAGAGAGAATTCTTATTGCTTTTGGGATGATTTACAATGGAATAGAACCATCTATTTATAGGGAGAGGGTGACTTAGCCACCAAGTAATAAACCCTAGAATCTCTCTAGATATAGACATTCACCATAAATAAATTATTTATAACAAAATATTATTTAAAAACTACAAAAACCTCATAAATACCAGTGTTTCAAAAGGCGGGGGCATGAGGCGGAGAGGCGTAAGCCTCGAGACATAGGGCTTAAGCCCCACGGATCTTTAATTTTTTAATTTATAAATGAATAATATAGTATTATAACAAAAAAATATAAAAAGTACATTCAAAGTTTAAGAAAACAGAATTTTTTTAAAGAAACTCATAGAAAATAAAATATCTAGCAGGTTTTATAGATATAAATAATGTAATAATGTTAAAGTTATTAATAAATCAACTATAACGTCTTAAATTTTAAACAACTATAAATTATAATTTCTAAGAAAATATTATCAAACTATATATTTTACCTCCCTAATAATAAATACAATATAAATTTTATCAATACTATAATTTAAAATTATTACTCCTTCATGAGTAAATACAAAATTATTTCTAAATAGCAAAATAATAGATGTATAATAATTTTGAGAGACATTGAACTATGACATGAAGATCTAGCAAGTAAAGATATAAATTTGGCTATCTATTTTTTTTTAAAAAAATATTCAAATAATATACACCTCACAATGTTCTCAATTAGTAAATATGCAATATTATGCTTCATTATTTGAGTTATTCAAAATTTTCATATTCATATAGATGAAAGATCTTTAATTATTCAGTTTTAAAGATTTTTGAGAGTAAAAATGCTAGTTAGTGAATTCGACGCATGATTTGCATAGGAACTGTTGGATGAGCCCCGGACGTTGAGCATTAGGCGTGTTTAGGGAACATAATCGGGCGCTTCAGGGCGTAAGCCTCAAAGAACTATGTCCCACACATAAGTCTTAAGGCATTTTGATATGCCCCGCCCCGAGGTGAGTCCCGATGTGCCACGACCTGAAATTCCCTCCTTCGGGACCGTAATGACACCTAACATTTCACTTGCTAGGCAAGCCAATGTTAGAGTAATTCCTTTTCAATTTTAAACACTTCAAACAATTTAATCAATTAAACAGAAATGAAGCCAAAATAAGATTTATGATATTATCCCGAAGATTTATGATATTATCCCGAAGATTTATTCTAAAAAAGGAATGAACTGTCATTATGTTACTCGCTCCTATATTAAACTAAATCAATCAATCCATTAGACTAGGAATTAAACTGTCCAACTTGAGTAAACTAATCTAGACCCGCAAGATAAGGTTGCGTTTAAGTATATAGAAAAAAAATCTTTATGTACAAAAGTATAACGATCCGACCATTCATTTGGAGCTTTTGCATGTCGTTCGGCAGTTTGAGGCCATGAGCAGCTTAACTTCCGGTATTATGACTTGTACGCGTGGTCTGAATTGAATTTCGGAATGTTCGGAGTTGATTTGGAAAGAAAATTCTCATTTCGGAAGCTTTAAGTTGGAAGAACTGACAAAGGTTTGATTTTTGAGTAAACGACCTTGGAATCGGGAGTCGAAGGTTCCAACATGTTTGTATGATGATTTTGGATAAGACGTATGTCCAGGTCAGGTTTTGGATGACCCGGAAGCGTTTCAGCGCCTATTGTGGAAGTTGGCATTTTGAAAGAATTTCATGAATTTGGGTTGAAGTGTATTTGAATGTTATCGATGTTCGTTTGGGATTCCGAGTCTGGGAATAGCTCCGTATGGTAATTCTAGTAATGGAAGCGCGTCCGGAAGTGGATTTGGAGATCCGTAGGTCATTTCGGGGTCATTTGGAGATAGTAGGAAATTTGAAGGTTTTTGAAAAGTTTGATCGGGGGTGTACTTTTTGATGTTGAGGTCGGATTTCGATTCTGGAAGTTGGAGTAGGTCCATAATATTGAATGTGACTTGTGTGCAAAATTTGAGGTCAATCGGACGTGATTTGACAGGTTTCGGCACCGAATGTAGAAGTTTGAAGTTCATTAAGCTTGAATTGGAGTGTGATTCGTGGTTTTAGCAGTTGTTTGATGTGATTTGAAGAATTGACTAAGTTTTTAATGTGTCCATCGCCAAGGCAAACAAAAATGGGCTAAGAGCCGATCCCTGGTGCAACCTCATCGCCATAGGGAAATGGTCCGAGTCACCACCCACAGTCCTCACCCAAGTCTTAGCATCATCATACATATCATTAATCACCCTAATGTACGCTACCGGAATGCCGCTAACCTCCAAACACCTCCACAGGACCTCCCTTGGAACTTTATCGTATGCCATCTCAAGGTCAATAAACACCATATGTAAATCCTTCTTCCTTTCCCTGCACTGCTCCACTAATCTCCTTACCAGATGAATCGCTTCTGTAGTCAAACGCCCCGACATGAATCCAAACTGATTTTCGGAAATAGACACGCACCTCCTCACCCTAGCCTCTACCACTCTCTCCAAAACCTTCATAGTGTGACTCGATAACTTGATACCTCTATAATTGTTGCAATTTTGGATATCACCCTTTTCCTTGTAAATCTGAACCATTGTACTCCACCTCCATTCTTCGGGCATCTTCTTTGCCTTAAAAATAACATTAAATAGCCTAGTGAGCCACTCCAAACCTGCCCGCCCCGCACTCTTCCAGAATTCTATCGTGATTTCGTCAGGACCCGTTGTTCTACTCCTGCACATGATACGCATCGCTCCTTCCACCTCTTCTACTGTAATCCGCCTACAGTACCCAAAATCCCGCCGACTCTCGGAGTTCTCCAACTCACCCAGCAAAATGCATCTATCCCCCTCCTCATTCAACAATTTATGGAAGTATGACTGCTATCTTCTCCTAATGAGTGCCTCGTCCATCAACACTTTACCATCCTCGTCCTTGATGCACTTGACTTGGTGTAGTCACGGTCTTTCCTCTCCCTCACCTTGGCCAACCGGTAAAACCTCTTGTCCCCACCTTTTCCCTCGAGCTCCTTGTACAAACGAGCAAATGCTGCATTCTTAGCCGTCGTAACTGCTAACTTTGCCTCCTTCTTTGCCTTTATGTAACACTCCCGATAAGTCTTTTTTTCCTCCTCGTTTGTACTCTCTACTAGCTTCAAATTATCAGCTTTCTTAGCTTTCACTTTACCTTTAACCTCTCCATTCCACCACCAGTCCCCTTTATGACCCTCAAGAGAACCCTTCGTGACCCCTAAGACCTCTCTAGCAGCCACCCTAACACAATCCGCAATCATGGACTACATACTAGACGCGTCCCCCATACTCATCCAGGCCCTCATATCCAACAACTTCTCCCCTAACTCTTGATCTTTGTCCTTGGTCAAGTTACCCCACTTGATCTTAGGTTTCCTGCACCCCGCCCTCTTCCTCCTACTCCTCTTGATATCCAGGTCCATAACTAGGAGCCTATGCAGAGTAGTGAGGTGCTCACTCGGGATGACCTTGCAGTCAGTGCACATACCTTTATCGCATTTCCTACTGAGAAGGTAATCAATTTGAGTCTTGCCCATTGAATTTCGGAAAGTGACCATGTGCTCTTCCCTCTTCGGGAAACTTGAGTTAGCTATAACCAAATCAAAAGCTCTAGAAAACTCCAATAGTAAATTACCTCCCTCATTCCTATCCCTAAAACCGTACCCGCCATGCACATCATCATAACACCTAGAACTAGCCCCAATATGACCATTTAAATCTCCGCCAATGAACAACTTCTCTGTATGCGGGATACTACGCACCATCTTGTCCAAATCATCCCAAAATTGCTTCTTGACCTCCTGGTTCAAACCTACCTGAGGAGCATATGCACTAATCACGTTTATAGTAAACCCACCAACTACCAACTTAATACTCATAAACCTATCATTTACCCTCCTAACCTCAACCACGAGCTCCCTGATGTCCCTGTCTACTAGAATACCTACCCCATTCTTGCCCCTGCGCTCCCTGAGTACCATAGTTTAAACTCGTCTACATTCCATACCCTAGTACCCTTCCATCTAGTCTCCTGAACACATACTATGTTGATCTTCCTCTTTTGAAGAATCTTAGCTAACTCTATAGACTTCCCCGTCAACGTCCAAATGTTCCAAGACCCAATTCTCAACCTAGAGGCTTTCTTACCCCCTTCCCACCCTTGGACCCCACCCCCAGCCCTGCCCGAGGATATGACCTTACTCTCACATCGTTCACTACCGCCACTATAAGCAAAAAGGTATTAGGTAAACACTACAACTAAGAAACAAAAACGGGAATGAAGGACTACCAGCTACGAACCCGAGAGATAAAAACAACTCAAAGGAGAGACTACGAGAACAGAAACGCGAGCAGGCACTAGAACAATGAATCTACCACGTCTACGAAACTACCCCTATGCAAACACAGAACAAAAATGAATAGATGAAACCTTAAGCTTAAAACACTAATAGAAAAGATAGTAAAAGCAATTAATCCAATCAAAATTGCTGGCAAGGCAACAGTAAATATATATGTGCAAATACAATTCAAGAAAGATGGAACCTGGATCACAGTCGGGGAATGTCCGGACGCGCTTCCAAATTCGTTGGTTGCTGCTGCTCTGATGGATGCCAAAAAGTCTGGTGCTCCGGCGAACTTTCAATCGAAAAACTGATAAAAAAGAACGAACTTTGCCGGAAAATCAATCCGCTCAACAGACTTCTTCAACTGCTAATAATAACTCCAACAAGTCATATTATAATCTTTTTAGCAACGACAGTTGCCGACCCAATAGTGAAATATCCAATGCAATATCAGGTACAATGCAAGTTCGAAGTTCAGATTTGAAAATCGGACTGCAGATGTACTGTATAGAAAAAGAACGCCCAATAAATCAGCGCCTATACGGATCGAAATTATTTCAAACTCAGCGTTCAAAAATTCAATAGATTCCTTGTTAGGTCAACGTTCTTCCTAGATGTCTCTAAACTTGCTTCGTGAATTTGCCAAATGCGATTTGGTATCTTAATTAATTCGCCGGAAGCATGGTCGGATAATTGTTACTGGATTTGAACTCTGCCTCAAAACCAGAATTTGGATACAGTATTGCCAAGATTTCCACCTATGCAGAATTTAGAGCAAAATCTTTATATTCCAAATGAAAAGGTGACCAGTTGTTTGATACTGACGGTGATAAGAAATTGCTTCATGAACTGATACAATTTGGTTTCGACCCTAACTCTCCGAAAAATTCGCAAAGGGCCAAGAATTTTGGATGCAGTAAAAATCAAATAAGTTTAATTAAAGATGTTTGTAATCTGCTATCAGTATACGATAGCAGGAAAAAGAAAAGAAACCAAGAAGAAGAAGAACTCAAAAAGACTGGGAAGTTTATGGTGGAGAAAGGAGAAACTGGGAAGTTTATGGTGGTGCTCCGTCGTCGAAGGTTCGCCAGAAATTGGGGATGGCCTTAAAGTTAAATTCCTTAAGCTTGTTAGTAAACTGTATTTGTAAACTAATTCTGGAAAAGATAAAATAACATATAAACAAAAAATATAAACGAGACAAAAGTTAATCCGAGCCCAATAAATTCACAGTATTTCCTTAAGGAATTTAATCCCCTCCTAGTACCTAAGGTTATGGATTATTTCCTCCCAGGATAGAACGAATTACACACTGGTGTAGTGGTACTTCAAACCCAGTGTTTCAGCGAACACAAATTTCGGTAGCAAATCACACTTACTGTTGCTTTATTTGAAGTTAAAAGTATGCAGAAGAAAGGAGGAGAACTCAAAAAATCGTATGAAAAATCTGAGGGAGTGGACTGGTATTTATAGCCAATGTTGGGCTGAAAACTGAAGAGGTGCAACTCTTCAGAATGGTTGTTTAGGCAAAATGGCCATAGCATAAATTCCGTAACATAAATGGTTATTTATGCAACAACAAACCGGGAATTCAAGAGGGAGGTTAATTTTCAGTTACAAAATTGAAAAATGGAAACGGATAACGGATAACGTTAATATTCTGTTGGATTTAATATTAATATTAATATAATATTAATATTCTATTATTAAAACGGATATTTAATAACGTTTCTGTTAATATTTACTATTAGCAAATAAATTTGGTCTAAAAATTAATCAATCAATCATTTGACTGAATCCGAAGCCGAAGCCGAGCCGAGCGAGCGACGACGACGGCGCAAGGCTTGCCTTATTCTCAACTCTTTAAGACTTAGAAGAAGAGCAATTGCTTATATACCCATTAAAAACCTCTTCCTCTTCCAATATGGGACAATGTCCCTTTGTCAATAAGGGAAAACTTAAAATTTCACTTAAAATTTTCATTTTCCCTCCATTTCCTGTTCACCCTCTTTTAAGCCTATTTAGCTTAAAACCTCAACAAATCTATCATTGGGTGTCTGCTAAGGACTTTTCGTCCGGAGAGTCTTGAGTTGCTCCAGTCAAACGTCAAATTTGAACAAGTAAGTTCTATTTAGTTGACTATTTTATCTTAGTAACTAGTGTTTAATTACTTCGATTTTGTATAACAACATACGCTCAATCATAGGTATTGCTCAAGGAGTTGGGTGATAGAGGAAGGGAAGAAAAATATTGTTGTAAACCTACTCTTGTTTACCGTTGTTGGCACCACTTATTAAAAGAATTTAAGATTGTGAGATCCACCAGACAGTCACTTTCTTATTTACATGGTATGGACCTTTTTAAAAAAAAAAATTATGTTGGGGGAATATACCGCGGCTTGAATGGTCTTAGAAAAGTGTATTAGGAGAACATGTTTCATTGGTTGTAGTTTTGATTTATTTATTCTTCGATTATATTCTAGTTAATTTATGTACCAATTCTGCATTTTCAACACTTCTTTTGGTGTTAGTCTAAAAGGTAGAAGATGTTGTTCTCTCCTCTCTCCTATACACTTAGGTCACTTTTTAAGGTGTATGTGTGTGTGTTAATTTGAAGAGATTTCACTTTACTTCACGTTTTTATATTTACAACAATGGTAAAATTTGACCAATTTTTATTCTTCAGCGGACCTGTGCTGAAGTTGTAAACGTGGGCTCAGTTGAAGACCTCCACATGGATCAGGCCCAACTGAAAGTCTTAGAGAGCAGGCCCACTTATTAGTTACACTTATAATACACTTTATAGGTTAGCCATTAACTTTGTACTCATATAGTCAAGTGAACATTCTAGAGAACTAATTTTGTAATTCATTTTTGTATCTCTGAAATAAGAAAATATCTTCTTTCCTTTCACTCAGTTTCTCTCACCCGATTTAGGGTTCTAGCTCACATTCAATGGTGATCTACCAATTTTCTATATCAATATGGTATCAGAGCTAGTGTATATGTAGCTCTCACTGTCCGCAATCGATTGATAATATACCCTCATCAATCTTCTCTAGTGTAAATTTACTTTGGTGGAAAATTAGGTTTTCAAAATTTTCTTTTGAAAGTGATTTTTCTGGTCTTGTACGTCGATTCAGCTCAGCTCCGACGTCATCTGGTGAAGTAGAGTTGAATTTGCCTCAAAAGCTTCTCCTTGATTCGTGAGTTGCATATTGCCGGTAAAAATTCTCACCTGACCTAGTTTTCTCTTGTGCAATAGTGATTTTTAGGGGGATTTTCTTCGGTATAGTAGAATTCACTGTTCCATGCCTTGCATTATGTATTGCGATGGGTACCAGTACAACATCTGTGCCTGGTGTTACGCATGCATCTCCTTTGTCGGGTTTTGATGGATTCACCCTGTTCTCTGCCGATCCCTCTCATCCTTTTTACATTCATTCATTTGATAAATCCCAATACTCCCTTAGTCTCTCCTCCGTTTGATGGTCGGGATTTTATTGCTTGGAGGAAAAATATGCTCGTTGCTTTAATCAGCTAAAAATAAATTTGGGGTTGTTACTGAAAGGTACCCCCAGCCAGGATCTAATTCCCCTTATTACCGTGCTTGGGAAAGATGTAATGACATGCTAATTGCATGGATGACTAATTCCTTAACCAGAGACATTTATCTTAGTCTCATAGGATTTAACACAACTAAAGATATATAGATAGATATTAATGAATGATTTGGCAAGTCTAATTGTTCAAAGTATATTCAAATCCAAAAGGAGATAAGTACCACAACTCAGGGGTCCTCAGATACAGCCACATATTTTACTAGGATGAATGGTTTATGGGATGAGTTAAATGCTGCTTATGTGGGACCAACTTGAACATGTGGTGCTCTCCCTAAACTTCTAGAAGACCAGCAACTATTCAAATTTCTCGGTGGTTTAAATGATACTTACTCCCCTTGTAAGTCTAACATCATGATGACGTCCCCTATGCTATCAATCAGTATAGTCTACTCTATGCTTCAACATGATGAATATCTGAAGGAGAGTTCTTCTCATGTCCCTAGTTTTTCAAATGATTCAGCTTTATTCTTTGCCTCAGTCAGTCAAAGAACTCACAATAGGAATATCCTTCAAAAGGTTCAATTTGACTCCACGAGGCAACCCTCATCAACATCTTCATGTAAATATTATAAGAATACTGGGCATATAGTTGATAAATGTTGCAGGTTACATAGTTTCACTCAAGACTTTAAGTTCACCAAGAATAGGAAGGGTTATGCTCCATGTGTTTAGAGTGCAGATATCCCAACTCAATCTGGAACTCCATCCTCTGCCCTCATGGTTTCACTGAGGAACAATATCAGCACATCATGTCTTTGATTCAGCATACTCATATCACACCTCCTCTAGTTCCTACTGGTCTTTACTCTAAGAGTCCTTTTGGTGATAATGATGCTTATGCCAACTTTGCAAGTATGTGTTGTTCTGTAGTTAGTAGTCCTGAGTTTCATGTGTGTGGCCTATCACAGTTAGATGTAAATGCTTGGATTTTAGACTCATTTCTAACAAATCACATAACACCACACAAATATTTGCTTCACAACCTACATCCCTTAATGCTCCCTTCCTAATTAAT